TCTAACTACTACAGCTGGAGGGTGTTCACATACTAAAGCTGGAGGGTGTCTAACTACTACAGCTGGAGGGTGTCTAACTACTAAAGCTGGAGGGTGTCTAACTACTACAGCTGGAGGGTGTCTAACTACTAAAGCTGGAGGGTGTCTAACTACTAAAGCTGGAGGGTGTCTAACTACTAAAGCTGGAGGGTGTCTAACTACTAAAGCTGGGGGGTGTCTAACTACTAAAGCTGGAGGGTGTCTAACTACTAAAGCTGGGGGGTGTCTAACTACTATAGTTGGAGGGTGTCTAACTACTAAAGCTGGAGGGTGTCTAACTACTAAAGCTGGAGGGTGTCTAACTACTAAAGCTGGGGGGTGTCTAACTACTATAGTTGGAGGGTGTCGGGCTACTAAAGCTGGAGGGTGTCTAACTACTAAAGCTGGAGGGTGTCTAACTACTATAGTTGGAGGGTGTCGGGCTACTAAAGCTGGAGGGTGTCTAACTACTACAGCTGGAGGGTGTCTAACTACTAAAGCTGGGGGGTGTCTAACTACTATAGTTGGAGGGTGTCGGGCTACTAAAGCTGGAGGGTGTCTAACTACTACAGCTGGAGGGTGTCTAACTACTAAAGCTGGGGGGTGTCGGGCTACTAAAGCTAGGGGGGTGTCTAACTACTAAAGCTGGAGGGTGTCTAACTACTATAGTTGGAGGGGGTCGGGCTACTAAAGCTGGGGGGTGTCTAACTACTCAAGCTGGAGGGTGTCTAACTACTAAAGCTGGGGGGTGTCTAACTACTAAAGCTGGGGGGTGTCTAACTACTAAAGCTAGGGGGGTGTCTAACTACTCAAGCTGGAGGGTGTCCAACTACTAAAGCTGGAGGGTGTCTAACTACTAAAGCTGGGGGGTGTCTAACTACTAAAGCTGGAGGGTGTCTAACTACTAAAGCTGGAGGGTGTCGGGCTACTAAAGCTAGGGGGGTGTCTAACTACTAAAGCTGGGGGGTGTCTAACTACTATAGTTGGAGGGTGTCGGGCTACTAAAGCTAGGGGGGTGTCTAACTACTAAAGCTGGAGGGTGTCTAACTACTAAAGCTGGAGGGTGTCTAACTACTAAAGCTGGGGGGTGTCTAACTACTACAGCCGGAGGGTGTCTAACTACTAAAGCTGGAGGGTGTCTAACTACTAAAGCTGGAGGGCGTCTAACTACTAAAGCTGGAGGGTGTCTAACTACTACAGCTGGAGGGTGTCTAACTACTAAAGCTGGAGGGTGTCTAACTACTATAGTTAGAGGGGGTCGGGCTACTAAAGCTGGAGGGTGTCTAACTACTCAAGCTGGAGGGTGTCTAACTTCTAAAGCTGGAGGGTGTCTAACTGCTATAGCTGGAGGGTGTCTAACTACTAAAGCTGGAGGGTGTCTAACTGCTATAGCTGGAGGGTGTCTAACTACTAAAGCTGGAGGGTGTCTAACTACTAAAGCTGGAGGGTGTCGGGCTACTATTGCTGGAGGGTGTCTAACTACTAAAGCTGGGGGGTGTCTAACTACTAAAGCTGGAGGGTGTCTAACTACTAAAGGTGGAGGGTGTCTAACTGCTATAGCTGGAGGGTGTCTAACTACTAAAGGTGGAGGGTGTCTAACTGCTATAGCTGGAGGGTGTGTAACTACTAAAGCTGGAGGGTGTCTAACTACTAAAGCTGGAGGGTGTCTAACTACTTAAGCTGGAGGGTGTCTAACTACTATAGCTGGAGGGTGTCTAAATACTTAAGCTGGAGGGTGTCTAACTGCTATAGCTGCAGGGTGTCTAACTACTAAAGCTGGAGGTTGTCTAACTACTAAAGCTGGAGGGTGTCTAACTGCTATAGCTGGAGGGTGTCTAACTACTAAAGCTGGAGGGTGTCTAACTACTAAAGGTGGAGGGTGTCTAACTGCTATAGCTGGAGGGTGTGTAACTACTAAAGCTGGAGGGTGTCTAACTACTAAAGCTGGAGGGTGTCTAACTACTTAAGCTGGAGGGTGTCTAACTACTATAGCTGGAGGGTGTCTAAATACTTAAGCTGGAGGGTGTCTAACTGCTATAGCTGGAGGGTGTCTAACTACTAAAGCTGGAGGGTGTCTAACTGCTATAGCTGGAGGATGTCTAACTACTAAAGCTGGAGGTTGTCTAACTACTATAGCTGGAGGGTGTCCAAATACTATAGCTGGAGGGTGTCTAACTACTAAAGCTGGAAGGTGTCCAAATACTTTAGCTTGAGGGTGTCTAAATACTATAGCTGGAGGGTGTCTAACTACTAAAGCTGGAGGGTGTCCAAATACTATAGCTTGAGGCTGAAGTGGGAAACGTCTGCACCCTCAGCTTTCCTCCCACATGAAGTCGACACCCGTGATATAATTGTAATGCTGTTCAAAGCCGCGAAAACTCTATTCACTCACTAGGACATGTTCTAAGGCCATGAAGCCACGGTGGCTGACTTCATATTACGAAAACAATTTGATTATTTAATCCGGGAAAACATTCTGACAACCACCTGAACTATTAAAAAACCTCGCATGCACACGCAGCGCAATCTTCCCATGACCCCTCGGGGCATGCGCTGCAGGTCTTGGTGGGATAGTTGATTTATTTCACGGGTTTGTAACAGAAACAATAGTTCTCAGTGATTTTACATGACGATGAATAAACGACATTTTGCTAAATAATTTTAGATATTGACTCGGAGTCAACGGGTTGTAAATTAATATCATGTTCCTCTAAGTTCTGACTAATGCATTATCAGCCTACAGTATGACGATAACAACCACCCTCGCTTTTCATGCCGACTCCGGGAAACGCATTCCGGCAAACAGGCAGTTGCACATTTTGTTGATGAAAGTTTGAAATTGGAAAGCTACAGTTGATCTTGAGATACCTGAATGCTGAACTTTCTGCAAGCAGCGTAAGGTATGCTAGGGGTTAGTTTCAAGGAGGTTAAGCACACCATTAACACGTGAGTAATTGGTCCTTATCAGTGGTATTTCCGATATGCACCTGGATGGTGCGTAATCGAGTTCTAATCTCAAGTTTGATCTGATTATGACCCTTGGTTTGTCTGTACCAAACCCATGCTCGTAGGCTTCGAGTAGGCCAAGGACGTTTGTGGCTGTGAAGATCCGGGTTAGAATTGGCCTTCTTGTGGTACGAGGCGACTAACGGGATCGGGTGGTCAGGCTCGCTGACTTACTTGATGCATGTCATCTTATCCAAGTTTCGTAGATGGGTGCTCATGATGTTAATCTCTGGATTGTTTGTTTTGTTGTTTAACCCCGCAATTCCAGCTATGTGACGGCGGTCTGTAAGTAATCGAGCCAGGACGAGACAAGCCAGTGATTATTATCATGAGCATCGACCCACGCAATAGGGATACGATGACATGCATGAACCATGTCAGCGAGCCTGACCACCCGATCCCGTTAGTCGCCTTTTACTCCAAGCATAGTCGCCTTTTAGGCAAGTATGGGTTGCTGAAGACCCATTCTAACCCGGATCTTCACGGGTCCAATCTCTGGATTGTCTGGTTCAGACTCGATTATTTACAGATCGCCGTCATATAGCTGGAATATGATGTTTGTTTTTAAAGCCACATTCGGCAATAACCCAGCTATATGACTGCTGCTTGTATATAATCAAATCTAGACAAGACAATCCAGTATTATGAACAACGATCCCGCAGTCGGGTTATCTTCACCCATCAGCCAAGTCACTGAATATGACAGCCCTTTCCATTTTACGAGGTGAGGTGAGGTGAGGTGAGGTGAGCTGAGGTGAAATTGGGTTTAACGTCGCGTCCAAGATTATTGCACTTATATAGAGACGTGCATGCACGTGTATGTGTGTGTGTGTGTGTGTGGCTGCTTGTACTAGTCCGGACTGATGCCGATTTATAGTGCTAGCTCACTGAGATATCATGCCGCAGTTTAACATAAATACCCCACTCAGACACAGTATACTACTCCGAGCCGACCAGTCCTTGTTTTAGCCCCTTAATGCCGAGCGCCAGGGTAACAACAAGTGCAATCTTTTAACGTCTTCACCTTCCGCTCTCCGGGCGGACGCTCTACCACTAGACCACGGAGGCGGTCTCCATTTTAAGAACACCATAGGCTGCTCCCCAGCAGCCTACTCTAACCCGAATGTCCACGGGGTTGTGATATTGATATAACATACATATTGAAAGACATTGGCACATACACTACGCCTGGAAAGAGTTGCGTCCCTTTGGCACGCCAGGAACCTATGATTATGGGTTCGAATCCCGGTTCGCCCCGATTATGTTTCTAGGTTTGCCAGCGCCATACCCGTGTTCGTGTAAACGTCTAAGACCTACATCACTTTGGGCTTTCCTCCCACATCATGCTGACACGCCGGGATATAACCGCGGTTATGTGGCGTTAAAGATCGTTAAACCTAACTCGCTCACTCACATAAACGACTTGTAAAGCATGAAATTAATATAATTTACTAAATCAACCTTCACCTTATCCCCACACACTGCTGACTTATTCCGCCGGTGTCACCAGCATGATTAAACAGCTTTCTTATGTGGCCGCAAGTGGGTTAAACAAATAAGGTGTAATGCTGTGTGAGAGAAGGTAGAATAGGTCTTCAGCAACCCTTGCTTGCCGTAAAAGGCGACCCGTGAAGATCCGGGGTAGAACAGGTCTTCACCAACCCTTGCTTGCCGTAAAAGGCGACCATGTTTGTCGTAAGAGGCGACTAACGGGATCGGGTGATCAGGCTCGCTGACTTGGTTTATGCACGTCATCGTATCCCAACTGCGTGGACCGATGCTCATGATGTCAATCACTGGCTTGTCTGGTCCAGACTAGATTATTTATATAGCTTGAATACTGTTGAGTGCGGCGTTAAACAAATAAACCTAAATATGCTTCTGGTAATATTTAATAGTCTGTACTTTCTGGTCCAAATTCCATATTCAGCGCAATATGTACAGATAACCATATGCAAATTCATGTTTATCTCCCTAGTCAGGGCTATCTAATACCATTATTATACGTGGCGTGTTGTTGAATGGCTTCATCTGCTTAATGCAGAAGCATGATCAGACTGTTGTCGCATATTTTATGACCCACGAAAAAGTCATTTCATCAACGACCTTCCACCCTTGTGACTAATGTTTTATCCCAATGTTAAGTCAGCTATAAGTGGTGAGGCCGGTCGACCTGTGCTGACGTTAACGGGACGGAGCTGCCCGCACGGAGCGCTATACAAGGGGACCAACACACAGTGTGAAATACAAGGGGAGTAGACAACATGGACAAGGACGGGTGGTACGGGGCTCTGAGAACCAGGGTGGCGGCACCCGGGTACATGAGGAAGCTGGTCCACACTGGGTGCCTGTTCTTCTCCTTCATTGTCGTCGTGAGTATGCTGTAGTCTTCAACACTGTTGTCATTATACAGTAGCGTACTTAATACATTGATTCGGATTCATCGCAATATGGCTGCAATATTGCCGATGCGATGTAAAATTATAACTCACTCACTCACATTGTTTCGGGTATATTGTTGTGGTTAGTCTGCCATACTTTTTGTTGTGATTATACTGTAGACGTAAAACATTGTGTCGGGTATATTGTTGTGTTTAGTCTGCTATATTTTGTGTTGTGGTTATACTGTAGTGTTAAAACTGGTATACTGCTGTAGGTATATCATAGTGTTTAGTCTGCTATACTTTGTGTTCTGAGTACACTTTAGTTTTAAATCTTCTGTACTGTGATGTTGGTATATCATAATGTTTGGCCTGCTTCACTGGGATGTGAGTTTTCGATAGTGTTTATTCTGCTGCTCTCTGGGATGTGAATAAACTACAGTAAACTACGTTTATAACGAACTTATAAGGAACTGACGGATATAACGTACTGGTTTTTTTTGTCCCGGGCATTTGCTGTATACATCCTGTATATATGTGTATAATGAACTACGGTTATAACGAACTAAAAGTAGTGGTCCCTTTGAGTTCGTTATTACCGTAGTTTACTGTAAAATGTTTAATCTTCTACTCTCTGTGGGGTGAATAATCAACAGTGTTTACTCTGCTACTCTCTGGGATGTGAATAAACTATAGTGTTTAGTCTTCTTACCTCTAGGATGTGAATAAACTATAGTGTTTAATCTGCTACTCTCTGGGGTGTGAATAAACTATAGTGTTTAATCTTCTACTCTCTGGGATGTGAATAAACTATAGTGTTTAGTCTTCTTCCCTCTAGGCTGTGAATAAACTATAGTGTTTAGTCTGCTACTCTCTGGGATGTGAATTATACTATAGTGTTTAATCTTCTACTCTCTGGGATGTGAATAAACTATAGTGTTTAGTCTTCTTCCCTCTAGGCTGTGAATAAACTATAGTGTTTAGTCTGCTACTCTCTGGGATGTGAATTATACTATAGTGTTTAGTCTGCTACTCTCTAGGGTGTGAATAAACTATAGTGTTTAGTCTTCTTCCCTCTGGGCTGTGAATAAACTATAGTGTTTAGTCTGCTACTCTCTGGGGTGTGAATAAACTATAGTGTTTAGTCTGCTACTCTCTGGGATGTGAATTATACTATAGTGTCTAGTCTGCTCCCAGTGGCTTTGTTATGTTGGGGGACACAACCAAGGCACCGAGCTTGACCACCCGAGACAATTTAGTCGCCTCTACCGACCAGCAACAGACTTCCGGGATGCTGTTTTAATCCGGAATCCTCATGGAGAGAAGACCAATATCAACACACATCCGGGCTAGGCTGGTGACTTGTCTGATACTGTCATTGTATTCTGACCGCGTTAATAGACCCGTGAAGATTCCGGGGTAGAATGATCTTCAGCAACCCATGCTTGCCGTAAAAGGTGACTATGCTTGTCGTAATAGGCGACTAACGGGATCGGGTGGTCAGGCTCTCTGACTTGGTTGATGCATGTCATCGATCCCAATTGCGTGGATCGATGCTCATGACATTAATCACTGGATTGTCTTGTCCAGACTCGATTATTTACAGACCGGCGTCAAATAGCTGGAATATTGCTGAGTGCGGCGTTAAACAACAAACCAACCAACCAACCAACCGCGTTAATCGTTGTTCACAATATCAATCACTGGATTGTCTGGTCCAGAATAGATTGTTTACAGTCCGCCGTCAATTAGCTGAGTGCGGGGTTAAACAAACAAACCATAAATAAACCAAATTCAAGTTCGTCGAAAATTAACGAGAACTCTTCTGAAATTCACAGGACGGGCGAAGACATTTCTGTTGATTTCTACACGATTTTCAGAAATGTACTAAATACTAGTAATTTTGGGGTTGTTTTCAGACAGCATTTAAAATATTATTTGACAACAAGGAACTCCTTTGACCAAGCTGGTTTTCTCAAGAATTAAAGTACACGCCAGGTATTAACTGACTTTGTCAGCTTTACAATGACGATGCTATTTCTTAGGAAGTTCACAGATAAAAGATAAGATATACAGCTCCTAGAAATATCTTTGTTTGTTCAATATGAGCGAAAGACACGGTTAACGCAGAGAAACTAGGTTATCCAACCGTGGCCTCTTTCAGAAGGGACACCGTGGGTTCGAATCCCAGATTCTCACTGATTATGTTTGTAGGTTTTTCAGCACCATACCCGTCTAAGACATGCGGAACTTTTGGTTTTCCCCCCATATTAAGCTTATACGCCTTTCTATAACTGAAATACTGTTTATTTATAATAACCTCAGGGCCAAGCCTTAAAGGGGTTCCAGAATGAGGAGTCTTCGGGGGATTCTGGTATAGATTACGTCCCTTGTATCCCGGGCTTGGTAAAGGAGTGAGTTAGTGAGTGAGGTTTTACGCCGCTTTTAGCAATATTCCAGCAATATCACGAAAGGGGGGTACCAGAAATGGGCTTCACACATTGTACCCGTGTCGGGAATCGAACCCGGGTCTTCGGCGTGACGAGCGAACGCCTTACCAACTAGGCTACCCGACCGTCCCCTTGGTAAAGGAGTCGATCTTGAGCTGAATGAACCCCATTCTTGTGTGGTGATATTGCAGGAACATTGCTGACAAACGGCGTAAAAACATACTCGCTCACTCACATGACCTGAAATTATATGTTTCCACAACCTGTTGCCGATTATCTCTATCTTGAAAGAAAGTCTAAACATTGGTTAATCAGACAAAGAGATAATTTATGAAATGAACCAACCGTATGCCACCTGTCTACATAACCCGGATAAGACCGCTCATCAAACTATTCCTATTATGATCATACGTCAGTGTTCATTCCTGCGTAAGTTTGGCCACCTGTTCCAGGTTAAAAACTGACTGATAAATATATGTGTCAACAACCACCTGCCTGCGTCACAGCAGACCGTCGGGAATCCAGGTCAGAATAGCACCCCAGTGCCTCCTCATGCTTGAGGCATGTTTGTGAGGGGCCCACCATTTGAAGCTTTGGGATTTAATTTAAAAAAACCCCAAAAACAACTGTCCCCGAAAATTCTTTCAAATAATAATTATGCTTAATTTTGTTGGAAAAAAAGGAAATTGCCTGCCACAATATTACATTGGTGCATTGTGTTTTTAAGTAAAAATTTGTTTGGCTCATAGTTTTAATTAAAACAAAATCTGGTTTTGCAGCTTTAGTCGAAAACATATCAGGTGTAAAATACACAATGTGTTTGTGGTTCAAGTGTATTATGCGTAGACATGTGCTTCAAGTCGTAATGCGATTAGGTCAGTAGGACTTCTATCAACATTTGTATATTGGGCATTCACCGGTCGGGAGACAAGAATAGGTTAGACGTGGTTTGGAAACTTCATTTCCTTTGCGTAAAACACATCATAAAAATGAAATAGAAAATCAAATCTATTTTTATCTATAGCTTTGGCACCAAATTAAGGTAGCGTCGCGGGAATCGTTCAATCAATGTGCCTTTGATACCGTGTGAGTTGAATGCGCTATTGGGTACACACAGAGTTATGAAATGTTTTTCAAAAGCGTCTGTCCCATATTCATGCATGTATGTCTCGCCGATAGCAACCCCTCCCCAACACTGTCTAGACTCTCAGTCATACAACATTATATTTTTGTGAATGAGTTTTTATAGGTTGAAAAAGTTTTACTTTTTGTTAGCTTCTTGTTATTTTGTCAGTATACAGTTGATATTTCATTGTTATTTCGACCCGTGAAGATCCGGGTTAGAATAGGTCTTCAGCAACCTATGCCTGCCAGTAAAAGGCGACTATGCTTGTAAGAGGCGATTAACCGGATGGGGTGGTCAGGCTCGCTGACATCGTTGATGCATGTCATCGATCCCAATTACGTAGATCGATGCCCATGATACTAATCACTGGATTGTCTGGTCCAGACTCGATTATTTACAGACCGCAGCCATATAAGCTGGAATATTGCGGGTCACGTAGGATGTGTTATACTCCAACTCTGTTTATTCTAAGGCGGGATGAAGCGCCCGTTTCACTGACAAAAAACTATTACACATGTCTTGTAGGAAAACAACTGCGTCCTTTTCTTGCAGACAAGTGAACAGTTCTTAATTATATTTACTTAAAAAACATAGTAGAACTCATGTTTATGGCTTTAAAAAATTGAGTTCCTAAACATACAAATGTCGATCTAAAAACGTTTTCTTGGCCTTCGAGTTGCAACTGATTATGCGTTTTCTTTGTGCGTCAGTATATAAAAACTACTCACAGAAAACATTAAATCTGGTTTGGAAAAGAGTGTAAAATTGCAGGAGGGAAGTATCACATGGCCAGATCAGTATACAATGAACATAGTTGCGTTGATAATAGAAACTGCATCCACATTTCCAGTAAAGCATGTGGACAAGCTCTGTTCCGATATAACAATAGACATAAAAATAGTTGGCAGACAAAATTCGAGAAACGTTTGAGCGAAGTTAGTAAATCTTTTTAGATTATGATTATCACTGATTATGTTTCTAGGTTTTTCAGCACCATACCCGCCTAAGACATGCGGAACATTTGGCTTTCCCCCCACATCAAGCTTATACGCCTTTCTATAACTGAAATACTGTTTGTTTATAATAACCTCAGGGCCAAGCCTTAAAGGGGTTCAAGAATGAGGAGTCTTCAGGGGATTCTGGTATAGATTACGTCCCTTGTATCCCGGGCTGGGTAAAGGAGTGAGTGAGTGAGTATGGTTTTACGCCGCTTTTAGCAATATTTCAGCAATATCACGGGAGGGGGACACCAGAAATGGGCTTCACACATTGTACCCGTGTCGGGAATCTAACCCGGGTCTTCGGCGTGACGAGCGAACGCCTTACCAACTAGGCTACCCGACCGTCCCCTTGGTAAAGGAGCGAAGTTAGTAAATCTTTTTAGAAAATACAGAGTAGCACAAACCGGCAGCAAGTTACCTCCCATGGCGGACTTATACGACGACTTCAAGAACATTAGCCATCTACAGAAACTGACTTTGAAAACTAATGTCATTTTCATGATTTTGATTTTAATGTTGTAATTAAAAACAGTGAAACTATATTATTTCCAAGAATATCTTCTGCTGAAGCGTTACCATCTTCCCGAGGCAAGAGAGTTAATTGACTATAAAAGTCCAGTTTCCAGCCTTGCCGAACTAGGCCTGTATTATGGAATTAGATTTTGGCTGGACTAACGAGTCTATGCATAGTCCAATCAAAATCGCGCAATGGAATCAAAATCCGGTTCGTAAACTGTCATGCTGATTTCGGTCTATTGCAGGATTTGCAAAGCATGTGCACCGCCAACTCGTTGTCAAAAGATATTTTCCAAATCTTTTCATGTTTTTAATCAAGGTGCACACGTAATTTGATGGACTTCGCGATGTAAGACCCGTTTTACCACAATAAAGATCTTGATTATCGACCAGATGTTCTTGACTGGGCGCCGCCATTGTGTTTGAAGCAAATGCATGTGATACTAGAGGTGAAATCTGATTGGTCCATAGGAGAGGCATAGAAGGGACATAATTCGTAATAGCCACTGGTGGCGCTACGATCGAGCGTTACAACTTATCAAGGAACTTAAAAACACCAAGGATAGTGGCATTGAGTTCACAGCGTTCCTTCATGCGGCGCAATGGGCGGTCGGGTAGCCTAGTGTATGAATCCCATTTCGTGATATTGCTGAAATATTGTTAAAAGCGGCGTAAAACCATACTCGCTCACTTACTCGTGTGGCGCAAGGGAATCCAGATCTATTTACACTCAACGACCTACATTGCCCACATATATATACCCAGCTTACTAACTACAACTGTCCTGTTCCGCAAAGCGATCTGGGCACCGTTGTACAAAAACAATAACCTTAGCACTACGACTGTCGTAAGTCTATGTTAATGTATGGGAGTTACGATCACCTTAGCCCAAAGATCGCACTGTACAATGGTACCCTGAACTATACGTCTGTCGTTAGTCTATGTATGGGCACAAATAGACTCCAGCTATAGCGCTAAGACTTTATTGTGAAAGGGGACTCTTGGTATCAGGACTCTCTGGTCTAGTGGAAAGTGCGTTTGCCGTGAGAGCGGAAGGTCGGCGGTTTGATCCCCGACCGCATCATATCGTGGACTAGCCCAATGCAACCAGCATTAGTCCGGACGAGTACAAGCACGCGCACACACACGCGAAGTTAAACCCCATTTCACCTCATCATAATATCTTACGCAAGGATAATTATTTATACTTGACTTACGATATAACGGACAAGAAAGAGTGAGAATGGATATTGTGCCGGTGAAATATAATCTGATTGTCTGGATACTGTTAACCGTTAGTATAGTCGATGTATCACTGGTTATTATCCCCGCCACGAAGTCGAGGGGGAATATAGGAATGGGTGCTGTCCGAAAACCGTACAATATTTCTTCACCAAACTTGTCAAATAGATAGGTCTAGTGGTAAACCTGTGCCTTTTGATAGTTTGGGATTTTTTAAACATTTATTTTTCGAGTTTCCATAGCAACGGCTTTGGCTCAGACTGAAAATGGCGGTAGTGCTCGTTTCCGGTGCAGATCTGGAAAACCTTACAATGTTTTTTACCTTTCACACAACCGAACATGTCATAATGGCGGGGAATATGAGTATTTTATGCTCGTTTCAAAATGTTATGGCTATGAACTATTTTTTGTTTCCAGGGAATGTGCAGTGCCCAAACTGGTCCCGCGCTGTTGGACCTTCAGCTCATCACAAACACCAATACCCAGCAGTCTGCGGTGTTCTTCACGGGAGCCTCCGTCGGGAGCATGTGCGGCTCGCTCTCCATTGGCTACCTGTTTGGCCGATTTAACAAGCATGTGCTGATGTCCTTGATCTTGCTGGGGGCAGCTGTGGCCGTCGGGGTTATTCCTCTGTGCTCGCCGTACGTTCTGATGGTGTTCATGCACGGAGTCGTGGCCTTCTTCAGGGCTGGACACGTTACTTGTAAGTGACTTCTTCAGTTTGAATCCCACTTGCCCGTGAAGATCAGGGTTAGAATATGTCTTAGGCAACTCATGCTGTCGTAAAAGGTGACTAACAGGATCGTGTGGTCAGGCTCGCTGACTTGGTTGATGTATGTCATCGTATCCTAATTGCGTGGATCGATGCTCATGATATCAATCACTTGATTGTCTGGTCCAGACTCGATTTTTTTACAGACCGCCGTCATATAGCTGGAATATTGCTGAGTGCGGCGTTAAAAAACAAACAACCAACCAGAAACAGTGTATCTTCTGCTGTCAACCACTAGTTTAAAGGCCTAGAATTTAGAGGCTTCCGTAATATAGCTGGAATATTGCTGACTAAAATGTAGCGTTGCTTCTTTGGTCTTGTCTACATTTTTCAATTTCTTTATTTGTTAAATTATAAAGTTACGAACATTTGTGATGAATACCTGCAATTATACCCCTATAACCCGAGTTCTGGGACATTCTGATGACGAGTGAGTACCTACTTTATTATGTCACGGCAGAGGACTACTTTAAATTGGTAGGATATGGCAATAGGAATTAAATGCTTTGAATTATTTATATAATTCTGCTTCTTCTTATTGAACAATACACAAAATTCACCTCAATCAAATTTTTGTTATGATTATCGTATAATAAATATGGAAGAAACGGCATGAACAACAAGAGATCACAAACATTGTGGTAATGTATTTTTCTCTTCAAGGTGGTAACACAGATCTGATCAGGACTTGGGAAGCTGAAAGGAGGGTGTTCATCCAGATTCTCCATTTCTGTTTTGCTCTTGGGGGTACGCTTTCCCCACTCATCACAGAACCCTTCCTTGCATACAGAACAGATTCTAACAACACAGGAGGGGCAGACAACTCTACCACTCCTATATCTTCCGTCTGTGTGAACAACAGTGATTTTGTAAACAACGAAGAGTGTGATATAGTTGTTACAGAAACAAAAGTCCAATACGCGTATCTTATAACAGGAATCTTGTTCCTGGTAGCCTCACTAACCTTCCTGGTCCAAAGATGCTGCCACGGGTCCCAAACGCATGTAACCAAGACATCTACGAATGGATATGAGAATTTGGACAAACCATTACCGATGAGGTATATCTTTGCTACAATGGCATTCGTGGTTATGATATTTATCTTCCTCGTGGCAGTTGAGACCTGTTTAGCATCCTTCCTTCTCACCTTTGTGGTAGTTCAGCTGAACTGGACGAAGACCTCAGGGGCCAGAGTGACGTCAGTGTTCTGGGCCTGTTACGCAGCCATGAGGTTTGCAACCATCTTCTTCACAGACCTTGTGTCCCCATTCGCGCTCATTCTCGTCACCTCCATCACCATGCTTATGTCCGCAGTGGGTCTACTGATGTCCTCCATCTATGACAACGAAATTGGAGTGTGGGCCTGCGTTGCATTAGGCGGGCTGTCGCTCGCTTCGCAGTTTCCCTCGACGATGATGTGGCTTGAGGAGTCAATACTGAGGCTGTCATCCAGGATCGTCTCCATCATTGTCTTCTCTGCCACCTTGCCTGGCATCATCAACCCGTTGATCATCGGGTACCTGATGGAAGACGTGTCGCCACTATGGCTCATGTACATCCTTACTATTGAAAGTGGTGTCTCAGTCCTGCTCATTTTGGCACTGTTCACGTGGTCCAAGGTGGTCCTCAAACCGGTGCATCAGCGACAGAAATCAGAATATTTGGTAACCGAGGATTAAACCTAAATGGTGTTGGTCTTTGAAAGGTAATTTAGAAGGCGAAGGAGTCCTGCTCATCTTGGCACTGTTCACGTGGCCCCAGGTGGTCCTCAAACCGGTGCATCAGCGACAGAAATCAGAATATTTGGTAACCGAGGATTAAACCTAAATGATGTTGGTCTATGAAAGGTAATTTAGGAAGGCGAAGGAGTCCTGCTCTTCTTGGCACTGTTCACGTGGTCCAAGGTGGTCCTCAAACCGGTGCATCAGCGACAGAAATCAGAATATTTGGTAACCGAGGATTAAACCTAATTAATGTTGGTCTTTGAAAGGTAATTTAGAAGGCGAAGGAGTCCTGCTCATCTTGGCACCATAATTAATCCTATTTAAAGCACAGCGGGTAAGCGCTGTCTATGCTAAACCATGCAATTACCATTTTCTCGCTTGACAGTAAAAATGTGATTTCACGCGAGCATTTGAAGTCTGAATTAGCAGTTCTTATTTGTTTAACATTTCAGAATATATTCATCACACGAAGGTCATACATTGATACCAATCCTACAAATGCCCCAATAGAGCTAAGAAATTGCACAAAAATACGCTTGTATGAATTAGAAATGTCGTTTTTACGCTGAAAAGCACCTAGTTTTCGCGCCAAATGACATATCTAACTTATTATCAAGTGTTGTATATAAATACTATAACGATTATGGTCCGGAAGCCCTTCTGAGCATGATATGTGTTAGATTTATTTCAAAATATAAATCAAGAGTGCTGAAAACTTGCCTCAATCACGCTCACATTTCTACTGTCCAGTCAGAAAATGGCAG